GAGGGAGTGAAGAGAGAGACACTGACTGGTGCTGGGGGGGAGAAGGAGAGAGACACCGACTTACGCTAGGGGAGGGGGGGAGACACCGACCGACGTTGGGGTCCCTTAAAAATTTCCTCGGCCAAAAAGGGGTCACGAGTGGAGAAAGTTTAAGAAGGCTGCTCTATAGGATTTAAAGCTGAACTCTGGGCAAACCGCAAAATACACAGATGAAATACGTATTTGGAAGCAGTTTTGCACGTCAAACTATTTGTAATTTATTTATTTTCAGTCCATTTCTGAAATTTACACAGCTCTGCCACACACTACAGCCCTATCTGGCACGGCAGGAGACCTGATTTTTCCCTGCTGCAGTTAAAGTAACACTTACAGGTCTCATCCCTTCCCCAACATGTGACTGGACAGTAAGGCCGGGTTCACATTTGTGTGATGCAGTCATAGACTCATGTTAACGTGCATTGCATTAATCTAGCCCATTCACTCTAAATGGACTGCCAATGAGCGTATGTGACGCCTTTCGAGTACACAGACAACTTTCATGTATCGCAACATGCTGCAGTGCAGGTGTGTTGGGGGGGTTATTCATTTTACGTTATCACAGAGCAATCATGTAAACAAGCAGCAGACTGAGGAGCTCATCTCTTGGTTACTCTGCTCTCTTCTCCTATCACCATGCTCCTTGTTAGCACATGAGAACTGTAGCTAGAACTGCAGATGATTGGCTTCTTCCGCTGCTCGTTCTCCTAGTCCAAGCTCTTATCAGAGCTTGGACTAGGAGAACGAGCAGCGGAAGAAGCCAATGCTCATCAGTGCTTGGACTGGGAGAACGAGCAGCGGAAGAAGACAATCATCTGTGCTACAGTTCTCATGTGCTAACAAGCAGCATGGTGATGCTCCTTGCAAGAGGTTGATACCAAGTTAAATTCAGGCACCTACACTGCTTGAATATATTCAAATACATGTAAAGATGAATTAATGAACAGAGAGCTAGATGTGCCTTTTATATCTGTCTGGATTTCAGCTTTAAAAGGGTGAATGTATTTATAAGAAAAGCTGATGTCAGTCATTTTGCATCCAAATCAAGTTCTTAAACCTCCCCTGTAAATCCAGGACTGCCATTTGTCACCACAGTACACACTCAACAGTCCAGGATGAAGGCAGAACAGAAAATATTAAAGTAGTTTGCCTTCTTTCTTCTGTAGGAAATGAACCTAGTGAGCAGAGAGAAATGACCATCCGAGGACTGTTTGCCTATGTTTCATAAGCAGGACTTCAAAGACTTTCAACAGGAGACATAGGTATCAGTAGGTAACATATGAGCAGACAGTCCACAGAAATTGGAAGCTTTTTTACAAACCTTGATAACAGGAACACGAGGCTTGAATCTTGAGGAGAGCTGAGTCAGGACTTCTCCAAGAAGTTGCTGGTGTTTCAAGATCTTTCTCATTTTCATAATTCTTACAATGGCGGCCTAAATCACCACAAAACATACAACTAAATGTTAGAGCTTTCAATGACCGTTTCAAAATAAACCACAAATGACAGAAATTTGAAGACAATGAAAAGGGGAACTTACAAGATTTCCCTTTTAATAAAAAAATAAGAAGATGATCATATGTCGTGTTCAGTAAGAATCCCCCAACTTTGGGCCACAGCTGCAGTCACAGAATGGGGATTGATCTATCAATATGCTATTTCATCGACAAACTATACCAACACTAGGGCGATTCTTTCAGTCTTACACTTCAATCAAACACTGCCCTAAAGGCAAAGTCTCTTTCTACTACAGACTTTCTGCTAAAAAAAAATATTTAATTGTGCACGATCATAGACATCAAGTGAATTTGTGAAGTTAAACCCAACCCTACTCATGCCCTAAACAAGGAGGAAACATGGCAGATGCTCATCGCTGCTTATGGACATGGCTTGTCATTCATATTCTTCAGAAGCAGCGTGGATACTACAAATTACTCATCTCTTTCTGACACCCATGGGGACAACGTTTGGATACTTAAATGTCTAAAAGCTTGAAACAACCTACTGTATTGGAAATGAGCACAAAGCCAATTACCAAATTAGACAATAGCTTAAAAGAACAAATGTAGCTGGAAGACTTCCCTTTGCCAGACGCTGTGATCATAGGCCAGAATGTGGAGCAGGTCCTGCTCTGATCGCTGATGTCTAATTGGTGAAGTATCTCAACTAAGGCCCAACATACATTTTTAGTACTGCCATGGGGGGGCTAATGGCCTCCAGTCTCCCAGCACAGTCCTCCCGCAAGCTCCACTCTAGGCAAGGTTTGGTTCATGACGGCTTTAACATTTTTACAAGGTAATCAGAAGATTGACTGGATACCCCCTTCCCCATAGAATCAATTCTTCTGTTTAATTATCATCCCTTTCTTACCATCCCTAACCAAGTCTGGGGAAACAGTGGGAACACAAAACCAGTATTGGGAAAGTGAATTAAATGATACCTTATATTTTGGAGAGGTTAATCAACAACATAATCTCACCACAAGGAACCCATGAAAACGCACCATTTCACAGATCATAAAACATCATCAGAATTGATTCATTTGCTGAATGTGAAAAAGACCCCGTCACCAATCAAAAGATTTGTATGGAAAATTGGGGTGAAAGCAGTCATTCCCCGACTCAAGTGTCATGTTTTTTACCCAACACTAAAGTTAAGACGATCTCACAGGTCTTTTGCTTGAAATAGGTCCTGTAATTATGGTATTCATTTAAAATTAAAACTTGTGGTGGAACCACGAGATCGTACACTTTTGCTTATGTATTAATACAATACAGGCTTTACATAGCGCCAACAGTTTGTGGTTTCCCCAAAAAAAAAATATTTTTTTTTACATCTACATGCAAATACTGTCTCTTCATGATGGTCCTGCAAAAGGAAGACTGAGATAAAACCTTCAGGGCTCTCAATATTGCATCCACCAAAATAAAACCCGTGCTGTCTATCCAAAATTGGCTGCCATTGGGTAACACAGCTGTGGTCACACAGCTCTTCTTTCATTTTTACAGGACAAATGTCTCTGACACAAGTTGTCATTTTAAGCCTTAATTCCACTCCCCCTTCTCCATCTCTACTTCCAGCAATACCTCACTGAAGAACTGCTCGGAACCGCATAGCCTTTCTTCTGGAAAGCATCCTTACTACATTGCTTGAAAGGCTGTGTAGCTCCGGATGGGGCTGCAGAGTGAAGGGCTGCACTCTTTATTAAACACTATAGATTAAACCAGTTCCAGAAGGTAAACAAATTACAGGTGGTACACCACTGCTCTTTTCACCAAGGTTAGCGGTATTTAACAGGTAGCCCATTCTGAGCAATATACAGGGGAATATCCTGGACAAGGAAGTCAGGGTATTACCTGGATGAGAAGTTTTCGATCTTCTTCTATGTTTTTGTGCGTCGTCTCTTGTTCCTGTTTCTGCTCAGTTTTCATGGGCACATTGATGTTAACTCTAAGCTTCTTACTGCCAAGGCAAAGACATAAAAACATTGAAATATGCCACTATCTAATGCCAAGATAGAAAAAACAGGTTCCATTTTAGTTTTAAAAATACAAACCTCAATTTTACCGATGAAAACCCATAACCCTCAACATTTCCGGACGTGTGTCCCTCTCCTATTCTGCTCATACCTCACCCCAAGATCAGTTTTTGTGTTACATCCTACATCCTTAAAAGCAAGTCAGCAATGGAAGGTTCCACATTTTGGCCCCCAAAGGACCCACTTACAATACAGGTATTCTCTACCAATCCTATCAGCAGAAAAATACAGCATATACAGAAATGTTCCAGTAAGACACAAACCCCGTCGGGAATTTACATGTACATACTTTTTATAGCCCAAATACAGCTTTATTAAGATATCCAGCCTCAACTCCACTTCATCCACATTTGCATTTTCATCTTCTAATACCTGCAGTAAAGAAAGAAAAGAAAATGATGTTATTCAGTAATATCTGAATTATAATATATTTCGAAGTTCAGAAGCAATCTGCTAATTCTAACATACTATCATAAAAATGTTTAGAGGCATTTAAGACTTTAGTTTTCAAGGAGGGGATTAAAAAAAACTTTTTTTAGTTTGGATCATGAACCTCTGTCAGGTGTTTACCCTTCTCCATTGCAGAGATTTCCCCCACTTCCTGCCCAGTGAAGGGATTCAGGGAAAACCACTCAAATGGGTACAGATGGACAGAAGTGACGGAAGTTTCACCCACCCCAAACTAAATCAAAGTGGTTTTAATGCTGTCTGTAGAAGATTTAACTTTCACTTGCTTTGATTGCAGATTCACTTTAGGACACAGGGGCCATCCTTGAACATAACAGGTTTCAGTAAAATATTCGGCATAGAAATGAATAAGAGAACATACATCTCAATTAATAATCTATCTAAATTGATGTCATTTAAAGCTGAACCCCCAGTCACACCATTTCATGCAGTTATATATTCATTAAAAGTAATTCAATGCATTTTTAAATGTAGCTAGTTTAAGTACCTGACTGACACAGCATCAGTCTCTTCCCTGTAATCCCTGTAGAGAGCAGAGGTATAAGCTCATCAGTCTGCTGCATCTCCTTTAACCACTTCAAGACCAGGTGTTTAGACCCCCTTCCTGGCCAGGCCATTTTTCAGTGTTCAGCGCTGCGATACTTTGACTGACGTTTATTCCGTCATGCAACGCTGTACTGAAATGAATTTTATACCATTTTTTGGGGACAGATAGGGCGTTATATCAGACAGCTGTCTGGCTAGGCTGTATAGATATCAGGACTGGATGGCCAAAATGCAAAGCTTTCCATTTCTTTCAGAGATCTTTATTTTCAACTGTGTATTTTACCCGTTTGCCTGGCATTCAGCTTTAACATTGAACATTCCTTTTTTTATCAGAATAAAAACAAACTAGGTGCTAAAACACTCACCAATAACTTTGATTTCAGCAAAATTTGTAGAACTTGTACCAGGATGTCCTGAAACAGAAACATGTACACACCTTTAAAAAGTGGTCTCTGAGATTTGTTGGTGCTGTGTCCAATGTTATATTATCTGGACAGTTGTCCTAGAAATATATGACATTAATGTTTCCTTGCATTTCTTCCTCCATGTTTCCAGCACCAACACATTTTAAAGCCAAACAGAAGAAGTAAGCAATACACAAATACTCTGAGCAACGTCTTCCTACTAATACACGATCACAATCTACTCGCACCCACTAGACATGTTGGATTCAGCGCTCTCTCTTCCCACATGTAACCTGCTCACAGTTGTCAGAAGTTGAAAAACTCCACACATACGCATTTTAGAAGATGAAGGCCGCTGTATTGGTTCCCATGGCAGCAACATCAGCAGCGTGCACAAGCTTTTTTTGTTTGTTACCACGATAAAATGATACACATACAAAGGAAACCTAATCTGATCGGCTCATTCATACGGCTTTAAGACTCCTCTAAGAGTGCCACCTATGCAACAGATTTTCTTTCTGCCTATGCAAAGTGCTGGGAGATCCCATCAAAGAAGAGCACGTACACAACATGTATGTTTGCAAAGCTTCTTGTTCAACTGGAAACAGCTTGTAACTGCGATAGGAGTAAAGCTGGCCATACACAAAGCAAATATTCACTCCAACGGTGGCCCTGTAAGCAGTCACCTGCCTGACATTTTTTAATATGAAAATCAAAGGGGCCAGGCAGAAAACATTTGGCTGAACAGTGGCAGGAGCTAATCATCTGCAGTCACTGTTGGGGTATTTTGACAGCGACACCAGCCGCTGTCAGAATGCAATAGCCTAGCAGGGGCTGCTGGAGGAATCCGTTAAGATTTTTTTTCCAGCCATTGTCAATATAATTTGATGAATGTGTGCTATTCTCAGAGCCATATTGCAAATTGCTAACATACCACAGCCAAGCTAGTAATTGAGAGATCTATAGATAGATACACACACACACACTTGGTGGACCTATGTTGTAATTACAACAAATATAACATAAGAATGATCTATATATTGTGCTCAAACTACACAAGAATACATGTGGAATATATCATACCATTTTTATCTGCGTACTATCTGTCAATTGCTGTACGGTGTATGCATCTTCTGTGTTGTACTGGAGCAGGATTGCCATCTGGAATGTGGATGCCTAATAGAAAGAAAAATATCAGATAATGTAAATTACAACAATGTATTTATGCATTTATAGAACAGCACTGCTTCTGCAAAGCCTTAACACTAAACTATTCACATTGGTCCCCGGACCCAGCAATAGCTTAACTTTGTGTTGCCAATACACACTCCTTAGCATCAATTTTAGCAAAGGTCAGTTAATCTACTTTTCAGTTCTTGGACTGTGGGAAAAATTGTTGCATCTAGATGGAACTCAAACAAGGGTACAGTATCAAAGGAGCATAAATGGCATAAGGAGCGTAACTAGCACAATGTTAAGAAAATCTTTAATTCTATCCTGAAATTGTAAGTATGATGCAGATCATATGCACACCTAATGCTGTTATCAATGCCTATAGTTCTGGTGCTTAAAGGAGAACTATGGGGTCAGTGTTTTTCCCCATAGTTCTCCTTGGGGTAACGGGAGGACACAAACTAGCGTCCTCCTGTTACCCTAAGCTCAGTATACCGCGAGCTACAGCTCGCGGTATACTGAGACGCCGCACCTGGAGCGGATCCCGACTTAGATGACGGGATCCGCCCAGCTGCGTGACAGCTGGCTCTGCCTATCTAGAGGCAGAGCCAGCTGTACCCGCCCCCTCCCCCGTCCGTTCCGCCAGTCAGCGCTGGCAGATCGGAGCGGGGAGAGGGGGAATCCAGCCCCTCCCCCTGTAACGGCAGAGAGCCGTGACAGGATCGAGAGGTGAGAGAACCCGGTATGTGTTCCCTCACCTCCCAATCTACTGAGCCGACCTGTGACAGTCTCATTGTCACAGGTTGGCTTAGAACTATGAGGTGAGTGGAAATCACTCATGCCATAGTTCTCCTTTAATATAAGCCGAATACCACTTCCCAAAATGTCCACAATTTGACCTGAAAAGCTGCAAGTGATATCAGCAGATGGTTGTGCAGTAACAGCAAGCAGAACTCATATCACACACCGACATTAGAAAAGTGTTTGGTGATTCAACATTGCTAAAAGTCCTAACTTGGATTTTCAGACCCATCCCACACTCCAGTTCACACAGCCGTGTCCTCTCTGCCACTAAGCCCACCTTCCCCCCTATCTCCTGGCATAAAGACTTCTTGTTTCTACTCTTCTCAGAAATTCCCTTCTTCGTTATGCCATTAAAGCACTCGGCCTCTAAACCAGGGGTAGACAACCTCCGTACTCTGTGGTGAAACTACAAATCCCAAGAGGCAATGCAATACTCCGACAGCCATAGCTATGACTCCCTGAAGCATGATAGGATTTGTTGTTTCACCACAGCTGGAGGGTCGAGATTGCCTACCCCTGCTGTAAACATTTAAATTCAACTAATAAGTCACCTCTTGGCAAGCGTACATTAGCAACCAATCATTTCTCACTATGCATAGATAAAGCACTGGTTCAGCTATTGAAATGACAAGGCACAAACTAGGAGTGGATATACTGGTTCTGTCACCCCTTGTATCTTAATGTTTGAACACAAATGTGCTTGGTCGGGGCTCTAAACGGTATTGTCTACATTTTCCTATTTCAAAGGTAATCACATTGCTTTGTTATTCAAATGATCTACCACACAATATTATTACAAATGCCTGGTCTGCAACTCATTTCACCTCTCCAGGAGATCAATTACATTCTGAGAAGATTAGCCATCCCTTTAGTCCCAACCAATGCATGGCAATCATCCATTTACAATGTTGTGAAGTAATATCCTTCACAGCTCCTAACAATATTACCAACCTGCAAAGTATATCTGTTTTTAAAGCAATTCGTAACAAGTTCTCCTTTGGACAATTGATATAACCAAGTTAGTTTTCTTCCACTGTGGCGGCTGGCATAAAAAGCTGTAAATCTCTGATAACTGCGCTCCAACTGCAAGAAATTTAAAAAACATTACATTCAGTAGGGGGAAAAAAAACAATGGCTTGACAAAATTTATAAGGCAAGTGATAAGAAGTTAAAGAATGCCACTGCAGCTTAACATACTGTGATCAGCAGTTTAAAGACCAATTTCCCTTTAAGCAAACCATAAAATCCTTTTCTCTGAGTCCATTGAAGGACACGGCTCTGAAGAATTCTGAGATGCAGGGTTATGCTGCTGCCTCCAGGAGAAATGGACACTAGGGAAAAAAGTTAAAAGCCTGCCACTTCACAATCACAACCCCTCCCACCTGCCAGTTGTAGCAAGCAGTATGAAAATAAATGAGGAGGGAGCTGTGTCGCTCAATGGATGCCGAGAAAATGATTACATGGTAAGATCACAATGCTATTTTCTCCTTCGTCCATTGAGGGACACGGCTCTGAAGAATTCTGAGACATTGGGACGTCCAAAAGCAGTCTAAACAGAGAGGTGGGCACCAGAACAACTAGAAAAAAACAGCTTAAAAGAAAAAGAGCTGTCAAACAAATACTCAGTCGCCCAAGGAACTTTTCCACCAAAACTAGCATCAGAGGCGGCAGAAATATCAACTTTATAAAACTATGCAAAAGTGTGAACAGAAGACCAAGTTGCAGCCTTACAAATATGAGCAACTGAAGCCCAATTATGAAAGGCCCAAGAATCGCTAATGGCTGTAGTAGGACGAGTAGAAATAGGAAAGGGAGGTACCTTATCCCACAACTCGTAAGCTTGAATTACAACCGGACAAATCCACTAAGAAACCTTTCTAGGACCTTCTGGTAGGACAAACAAAGAATCCGTACAGCTAAAGGAAGCTGTGACTGAAAGAAGCTCTGACAGCCTGCACAACAATAAAGCAATGAAGAGAAATTTCCTTAGGATGAACAGGAGGCAAGACAATGCAAAGCAAAGATCTTCATTTAAATGAAAGGCTGAAACCACCTTAGGTAAAAAGGAAACCTTGTTCGGTCTTAAAACAACCTTGTCCTTCTGAAGAACCAAATGGTGTTCTCTACAAATCAAGACAACTCGGAAACCCTTCTGGCCGAGGAAATGGCCACCAAAAAGGCAACTTCTTTGGACAACGCAGACAAGAAACAGAAATATCTCGAATAAGCTCAAAAGAAGGTATCTTTAGAACAGGTAAAACCAAGTTCACGTCCCACGGAGGAAGAGGAGACCTCTCAGCAAGAACAATACATACAACAATAAAAGTACAAATCAAGGAAAAAGAAGCAAGAGGACGTTGAAAAACGACAGATCGGCAGATATCTGACCCTTTATGGTAGAGCTAAACGTTGATCAACCCCTGATCAATCCAAAAGTCGGGATAAAAGGAGTCCAAAACTCCTCTGTCTTTCAACACATGGCTGATAAAGCAGGGTGAAAGATTGGTCAATCTGGAAGAAGCCACGGATCATCTGCAAACAGATGAACAAAATCGGCATAGCACACCCTATGAGACCAATCTGGAGAGACAAGACAGGAACTGCTTCAAGTTCTATATTGCAAAGCCATTGAGGTAACAGCGTCGGTGGAGGAAAGATATACATGAAGGTTTACAGATCCCACAGAGCTACCAAGGCATCCACCGCATCCGATGTTGGATCCTTCACTCAGGATACAAATCTGTCCACTTTCCTGTTGCGAAGAGAAGCTAAAATATCCACATTTGGTGCCCCCCAGTGCTGTTGTTGAAACACTTCTGGATGGAGATCACTCGTGACTGAATGTTGTAGACCATGCAGAAAAATTGATATTTTGTGGTATACATGTCCTAAAATGACTGCATAGTGCCGAGTGCCAAAATGCTATTCTCTCCAGTGTCAATCATAAAAATAAAATACACCCAAAATCTGGAAAATTACTCATTTCTTTACACGTCCATGTCTGTCAGACATTACATAATTAAATAAGTAATCTCCCAAAAGTGCGGTAACACGTCTTTACCAAAAGCTTAAAGAAAAAAAAAATAAACCCGCAGCTCTCAAAAAACAGTCTCTGTATAGGAAATTAGAAAAATGAGCAAATGCTTATTATGAAGGCAAACAAAATTTGTATCATACCTCAGAGGGTAATGCAAAGGTGCAGAATTGCTGAAAAGGCCATGATCCAGAACTGAGGACTTGTATGCTGAAATCCACTGTGAAGAAAAAAAAACAAAAAAAACAGATTAAAATACCTGCTACATATGAAACAAGATAATGCCCATACGGCAGTGCCTGCCTGCCTGCCCGCCCCCCCCAAACACTCACTAACCAAAGGGAAGAGAAACATTGGCAAAAAAATAAAAAAATCTATAGTATATCAAGGATCCAGAGCCAACACATTTTTCATGTTAAAGGGAACATTACAAGAACCTAAAGCTTAAGTACATCAGTATATGACAAAATACTGAGGCCAGAACATCAAAGTATCAAAAATGATCCTATTAACCTCCTGAAAGTGAAACTGAAAGTCTACAAATGTGGTTCTCCTCTAGCTGGGAGTTTAGTGCTTAGGGTGACCATACTTGTAGCAGGACAAACTCTCCTTGTACTCAAGGAAAAAAACAAAAAACAGAACAACTTCTATTGAGACAAAGCAACATCATATGCACCCTGGCCCACAGGCATGGCATGTAGGTAGATAGTTTGTTATAAAAATTAGATACATTACCATAATATATTACATAAAAAAAATATTTATTAAAAAGTATAGACCTTGGGTCTAAGACTCCCATTCACATATGGCATTTGTGGTTTCTGCACGGTTTATAGCACGGAAAACCGCTTGGCGCGAAAACGCGCAAAATTTGACATGCTCGCGAATCCGGCCCCAAAAAAGTGTGCTGATTTTTTTGCAGGACACGCGGTTTCGTACCGCGCGGACGCCGACCTAATGTGAACAATGGACATTGGAATGCAACTGTTTTTTTTTCTCTAGCGGGTTTCCACATGTAAAAAGACACGCAGAAAACTTCTAATGTGTGAATGGAGCCTAAGAGTGAGAGACATGCAGTCTATAAATTACTGCACCAATGACCTAGAACATGCTGAGCCAGAAGTGGGAAAGTGGCCACATAGAAGGAATGTAGATGGATGAAAGTAGTCACTCGCACTCCATGATATTAAAGTCAATGCTGTTTATTGACTGAGATAACACACATCTTAGCGACACTCTCTGTTTGCCTGAGGACGGGACCGCATGGTCTCGAATCGTCGCTAAGAAGATGTGTGTTCTCAGTCAATAAACAGCATTGACTTTAATATCATGGAGTGCGAGTGACTACTTTCATCTATCTATATTTCACGGAGGCATCCGTTGTCACTACTGCACCCACCCAGTTGGATTTGGGTTTTTGCCCGGTCAGGAGTGCGATGGTACAGGAGGATTAAGTTACATAGAAGGAATGTGTCTGATTTGTTCCCATATGTATGACTGTTAGAGGCATGGGAACGACATCAACAAAAATGATTGGAATTTAGTGTTTTTCTGAAACTGCATTTGGATTTATATTATGAGATATGCATGCAAACAGTGACCAGCTGGGTTCTTCTCCCACCAGCAAGAAAACTTCAACATGCTACTATAATTGAAATTAATATAACTCGGACCAAGATATGAACAGCAAGTCTTCCATCCACAGTGATGCTAAGCACTCAGGTTAACCATATTCCCTGTGTATTTGCTTGTTAAGTTGGAACTCCAGCAATATCTTTTTCCCTCTAGGCTTGGATAGACTGGGGAAATGTTAGAGCCTTTCATAGCTGTCTGCATGCACCCTCACCGTTTGCCCTGGTGGCTATTGTCAAGGCGGAAGACAAACAATTGTCACCTAAACAGGAGAAGAGGAGGGGTTATCTACCAATAAGTACACTTGTTTCCAGTGACAACTGTCAAGGGTGGGATTTCCACTGTCCTTACAACAGGAAGTAAGATACCCGGGAAAGTATCTGATAGTTTCTAACCCTTACCCACTTTATTCAAGGCAACAGCTTGGTCCTGGCCTCTGTACTCCGAGCAAGTCATGTGGCATTACTACACTCCCGATCCGGATGTAAACTCAACAACTAAGCGTGTTTACATTTGCTTAGACAGTGCACGGTTTCAGGTCCTGGGTGTGCTGGACCCTGGCGGTCAAAGACATGCCAGCAGGGGCCCACCATTACGGCTGAGACTGGCAGCTGTTTATATAGCAGCAGTGGGACACAATTGCCTCTATCCTAGTACTATTATAAAACAGCAGCTGGGACTTCGGCGGTTAAGAGCGCTGGAAAGCAACATCAAGCTCAAATGCAAAACTGTGCTTTAACTAAATACACCAATCATCAACTAAATACAGCAGCCATAATGTTCTAGTATGAGGAACTCACAGTCAAGAGGTTCAGAATTTGTCAGGTGCTTTTTAAACTGTTCATTTAAGTCTTTGCTGACACCGATGTCTTGGAACATCCTTTGCAGCTTAGAGGTATATTCAAAACCACAGGCTTGCTGTAAAGATAGAAGTGATAAAGCAGTGCAATTAGCTCTCCGCCCTGTCCTCAAATACCAAAACAGTGTATGTGGATGCATTACATATTTCAATTATGATTCAGTGAAGAGATATATAAAGCAAATACATTTCAATCATGTAAATTAGTTTCATTAAAGCTTGCTGAAACATTCTCAAGCAGTATGACTTTTACAACTAAAAACATTTCAGAGCAAAATGCCAAACTGGATTGGTCAGTAAAATGGCACCGTACTAAGGGGCAGGTTCACACCATTTTATGGATCAGATCTGGTCCGGAAAATGGTGTGAACCTGCCCGCAGTTCCAGTGCGTTCACGACAAAATGAGACATGTATTTTTATGGTCTAGTCTGGAACAGAGGCCAGAAATAGCATAGGGATACATAAGGATGCATTTGGGGTCTGGAAACAAACTGGTCTGGAGATGATCTGGATGTGGTGTGAATGGGCCCTTAAGAGCAAATGCTGTGATGTCACTCCTGTCATTACTACACTCACGATGTAAACACCACAATTATTGACCAGCTTAATAAAAGACACACTCTCATATTATTTACCTTAAGTTTGGATATCATACTGGCTTCTGCATCATCGCTGGCGCTGTTTTGGTGCACTAAACGTTTTGCAAGCATTTTTGCATAGAATTTCTGAAATACATCCTTATCTTCTATGTATTTAAATACCACCATCTGCAGAAGGAAAGCTTTAAAAGTGAATAACAATCCCTTTTATTTGATCAATTATAACAAGGGTAGAAAATAAACACATAAAATCGGCTTCCAAAAGATGCAATAGCTGTTTTTTTCACTAGCATGTATCAGTATTTTTAAGTACAATAGGAAAAAGTAGACTGCCTGATTCAGGCTGAAGAAATTGGCTTAAAGCACACACATATGGGTTGTATGCAAGCAATTTTTAAAACCCGAGTATGTTTTTCATTGAGAACACAGCACTATTTCAACTGTAGTAGTAAAACCTAACTCTGTGCGCAATCAACTTTAAGGTTCATTCAGGTATACATTCCATTGCCTCAAACTCAACCCACCCAACCAGCATGCTTTCTTCTACAATAAACAATCATCTAATTTACACCCCAGCATTAGTAGAGCTCCTGCTGTACTTCAGGCCTGCTTGGATTTAAGCACTACAGGTCTCAGACCCCAGGATTATGCTCATGTCGCTTCCCTATCCTACAGGTTATTCACAAACTGATGCCTGGGGCTGTGTGTTTTGTGAATGGCTTTGGAGAAGAGGGAGGTGAAGACACAACAATAGTGCTGGGGGGGTCAATGAGAGGGCCAGAATTGCAGAGGAAACTCTACTAACCCCTGCAGGTAAAAGAGCAGGTTTACTTAATGCCGAATAAAGCCTGCATGACGGGGGATTGACTCTCAGGCAAAGGAATGCATAACTGAATGAATCCTGCTAAGTGTATTGTGCCTGGAGCTGGGCAATAACTTATAATAGATCTTTTTCATAGAGCAATGATAAAATATGTTTCGATTCTTACAACTTGATTGAGTGTGTCTTCCAATTCTGCCTCTTCTGGATTCTTGGAGCTAGGATTAAAAAGGAATGGATTGTAAGTATGTAAAGTACACACAGGCCAAGAAGAACATGCATACAGTTGCAGATGGAGCAAGGGTGGGAATGTAAACTGTTTATTACAAAGCTAAAAGATGCTTACCTCTTCTTCAGTAGGGAGTCACAATAGCGGGCAAGCAGCTCTGGAGATTTGCTAGAAGACTGGGCCATTTTTGTCACTGCATTGTTATTTATAAATCGGCCACAAGCCTATAGTAAAAAGAGAGACTTGCATGTGGAAAATGTTCTGCATTAATGGGTAAAATAATGATTAGAAAACAAATGTATATATACAAACCTTGTCTAGAGCAGCCACAAAGCCTGCATCATTGTTGAACGCTGACATAACTAGTGCATTATATTTCTTGTGGACATCCAAGACTGTCTGTACATACATTTTGGGATCCTTGGGAATAAAAAAAAAAAATCACCACACTTAGATCATACAATGATAATGCGGTTACCATTAACATGGGTGGTCCTCTAAGCTTGATTAGCTTTAGACCAGGGTTGAAACTACAAGTCCCATGGGGCACTGCAAGACTAACAGTTACAGGCATGTCTCCCAGAGGCATATTGAGATTTGTAGTTAAAGCATAGCTGGAGGGCAGGAGTTGCCCACCTCTGTATAAGACAAATATTTATAACTCACATACTGCAAATTATATATTCTCTGATATTGTGCACTCTGAAATCGACGGGGTGGCCCCTTCTACGGGACACAGAAGCGATCTGGCGACAGGTAAGTCGCCAGAATCGCTTCTGTTGTAAAGCAGACAGTCGGCTTTACAAGTTTAAACAGAGTCCTGGTGACAAAAGCCGCCAGGAGTCTGTTTAAACAGCCCCGATGCTGGCGACGTACACTGTACGTTGTCAGTCACGAAGGGGTTAAGCATTAAAAGATCTATTGAATTGATAAATTGAACCCTTCCAGTTTGAGCTGGCATGCGATACTAAAGCTGTCACGCGCCGGCTCTATAGATTGAGAGCTGATCATAAACCAATGATTGCTCAAGCTCACGGTTTCTCCCTGCAGAGAGCAGTGAGTGTCCCCGCCGGGATTCCCTCCTCCCCTCTCTCGGTTCCTCCAATGCTCATAGGAGGGATAGACAGGGGAGGGGGTGGACACAGCTGGCTCTGGCTCTAGAGAGGCAGAGCCAGCTGTCAATCAGGCAGTGGGGTAGACTCAGACAATATTGTCGGAATCTTTCTCCGCTGCAGTGAGTTTCTGCCCTGTCAGCAAATAGGGGTAGTAGTCCACTATATGCTGAGTTTGGGTCAGAGGAGTACATAAAATTAACTCCTGTGAACCAAAAGAGGACTAAAGCCCCAAAAAAAGGTTTAGCTATAGTTCGCTTTTAATGTGCGTTGCATTAAGGCAGCCCATTTGTGAGAACTGCCAACACACATAAAACCAGACATCTACCATTTTCAATGCATAGCACGCCTGTGATGCACGTGTGTAGGTGTGCTGGCAAGGTGCTTTGGAAAACCATTCAAGATAAATGCCACCCCAACTAATACTATGATGTTCGGCAGTAACACATTTTACTGCACATTACCACAATGTAGGAGTGTGAAGACAGCCTACATGTCAATACAAACTATGAGATAAAGGAAAGCAGTAGCTGCGCAAGTTGCATTTGAGGTTTCGAAGCTCCGTGCACAAGTGCCAGTCCTATTCTTAGAGGTGTAACAAATTGGTGGAAAGGAAAGCTTACATTCTGAGCTGCTTCTCCACATTTTTCTATAGCAGCAAGTCCTTGATTGTGGATATGTGTTTCTAAAAGTTTTTTCAGTTCTCCCAGACCATCCTGTATTCGTGATACAAGATTGTACATTCGCCCCAGATCTGGAAAAAAAAAATGACAATTGACAAACAGTATTTATAGAATGAGCACTAACTGAAATGTTATTTTTTAAAAAGGGGAGTGAACTAAAACGTAGTACTATTCTATGTACAATAACCTTGGAGGGAAACCATAGCAAGTTTATTCAGCGATTACACATTTTGAGGTCTTATAATATTTACCTAAAAGGTAATTTTTCTTTGACTTTCAAATGACTGATTTCATGATTATTTCCCTCAAGTAGCTACTTAAGACCAAGTATTTCAGTCACCATTCCTACTGAATGACTGCTAAGCAAATTATTTCTAAGGAGAGGCTGTATAATAAGCGAGTCTTTAACCCACAAATACAAGATCCTTAATCAAACCAGATTGCTGGGGTTTGGCAGCCCTCCATAAAGTGGGAACACCCTATCACAGGGGTTGCCCAAATCTAAGTATTCTATGTATGATTATTCCACAATGAGCACCAAAAACACATTGCCAGAGTCCAGAAGTGATGTAAAAAGGCACACAAAATGCATTGGCAGTCTTTGGTTTTTTTTGGGAGGGCCAGGCAATCCCCCTTTAAACAGGGCTGTCAAAATGTATACATTCCAGTATAGAAATAAAAACATAAAAATGAAGCTGTGGGAACAGCAATGTGGGAGATGCCACTGGTGAGGCAAAGTCTAAAAGGTCTCTTGAAGTGTGGCCTGTTCATGGTCTGGACACACACGGATGGACACACACACACACAATGGGAAAGTATGTGCGAGGTCCGAAAACAGAGAAACTTTTATTTCGCGGGTTTTTTTTTTTTTTAATTACCAAAGGAGCACCTCAACACAAACTTGGAACAGAAGGAGGAACGGGGGGGAAACCTATTTTTAATTTCTACAATTATGAAATGCTAATATACTGTATGAACTGAAACCAAGGGCTACAAAGTCACCTTCATTCTTGTCTGCATCAAGTAAATTCTGGAACTCTGTATGGAAGATCTCCAGGTGTTTTTCTATGAGGACTTGTTCACATTTCCGCGCTAGCTCATCCTGAGTGCTCTCATGAAGGTATACCTGTACTCTTCTCTGCTCTTCCAAAAGCCGTGCTTCAGCCTAAAAAAAAAAGGAAAGAAATATTATACTATACAATGTTACATAACAAAGTAATTTTCAAAAAGACCAAAAGGTTTGACTAATAGCCCAATTGTTGATCTAAATACCCAAACTGCGGCTAGCTTGAAACAACCATATGCTCGAGTTATAGGAATCTAGGACAGGGATCAATACAGCATTCCTCTGGGTGCTAATAATTTGTGTTTGTCTTTCTTTGGCAGGAAGGGGTGGCATTTTATGCAGGTAGGGCTTTGTATTACTGATCAGATCACAAGTATTATCTTTCCAATATATCCTGCTGTTCCAAGGATTAGGTTTGTTGGCCTAACTTAGGCTAATTATACCCGGTGGGCCAATAATCACTGGACGGTTGTTATATGAAAGTAACCAGAACTCCTCTGGGAGCATCTATGTAACCATTTTCCTTTTTTGTAAAAGGATGATATTGCATCCTAAAAATGCAATGTAAAAACTACTTTATCTACTCAGCATTGTTTATTCCTTATGTAATACTTCATCCCTATTTTTAAATATCATCTTTCATTCCTAATGTTTAATTACACACTTTTTCATTAAAAACTGAGCTTTATTTAAAAAGATGAGCATACAAGTTGAAGGTGCCCAGGATACAAATATACTGCAAATAGTGTAAACATAACCAATTAAAAGCATAATACTTTTCTGATTGCTTATGTGATTTGATCAGTCATATAAAGCCCTGCACATGCTTGTTATCAAGAATAACAAAGAGAAGTAATAGGAAATTGAGTATATGTCGTGTGGTCATTTTCAACTTACGATAAAGAGGGTTTCCAAGTATTGTATAGTATGTTTGTATTTCAGGGTCACATTAACTTCTGCCCTCCACTGAGCCATAGTAGGTGGCAGGGCCTGAATTCAGTTTTCCAATTAGTTTACCAAACAAATAGGGATAACTCTTCAGAGATGGAACTTGGCAATATTGGGTGTTTTACTTAATAGAAAAGAGTATTTTACAACAAATGAAGGGCTCATACATATGAGTGCACCTCGTGCTTGTGTTTCCAAAATTGTTTCAGAAGTGCTACTACTAATCCTTCAAGAGGGAGACCAAAAACAGAGGATCCACTGACAAAAAAAGGATTCTCATCCTTCTCACCAGTAGATGGAGATACCTCCATCTACTGGTGAGAAGGATGTGAATCTTTTTTGTCATATTGAGGCGAATACTTGCAGCTTCACTCACTGGGGAGTTCTTCGCAGACCTTCAGAACATATGCCAGGTGGCCACTATGGACACCTCTATGTCCAGGCTCTGACAGAACACAATTAGCACAACAAATTGCTATTCAGCATTACTGTTTTATGGCCACTCAACATCCAACAAATGTTTACTTTATCCATACATGTTCAGATTGCAACCTTTGGCTTCTTTAACATACTTTAAGCTCTAACAACAAGCAATTGTACTGAAAAAGCAGTTCTTATTTCCTAGCTCTATGCAGCAGTAAGCAGATTTTGCTTGAGATTTAAATTTAACAGATTAGAACAGACAAAGCCACATTGCCAAGAACTGAAGTCACCTTCTTCATGTATTCTGTGACGGGGTTCTGCTGTAAAAACTCTGTGCTCTCTCTTGTGTAGAACCTCTCTGTGTCAGCCAAAAACTGAGATTCAAAAGATTCTTTGTACACGGTCAACGTGGGGCCTTTGGCAAACGCATCATCTTCATTCAAGCCCAGCTCGACTGCAGATAGAAAAAGAACACTGTCAGGCTATGGTTTCAAGAGAGCATTGTTAGGAATCCTCGGGCCCGACGTTCCCATTCTTCAATGACTGTAAATAGGGCGCACATGTCAAATTCAATCTTTCCCTATGTTTGCTCATTCTAAATGAGGTGTGTTCACTTTCAATCACCAGAGGTATGTGTTTAAAAGCTCTGATTACACAAGTCTGGGAATCACTGGTAACCCCAAGTGCTTACATTTTCTTAGTAACAGAACATATTTTGCTAAGATAGGTAGAAATAAGTACCCAAAGTTAACAGAGACTTAGACAATTATTTTAAGGTGAAGAATCACACTGGGCATTCAGCAAATTCTGTTGAGTAAAACTTATTTGGATTGTAAACATTCATGTTCTTGCTTAACCTATTAAATTAATTCTTCTTCGATGCTGAAAACTAACAGCAATCACGCTGTAATTACAGCAATATGGTAAACGTGCAGAAGAAACCTAACTGATCTAGTCAATGACAGGAGCATGCACTTTATGTAAACTGCACACTTCAAATTAATAAGAATCTGACTGACTTAAGGGGGAAAGAGAAAAAAAATCCAACACACAAGATACCCGATTGTTCTTGGGAGAATTCCTATTTAAAGTGACCTTGTCACTAGAGGCTCAAAACAGCAAACAGCAATACCTGCTGAAAGAAGAGACAATACACGCTTAGCTTTTCCATGGCCCATGTCTGCTCCACCTCCGCAAGTATTCAACACTTCTTGGTGTGTTTATTCCTGCTGGCTCCTGTCACTAAAGGATGTACGGGCTAGCAGGAGAAACCACTGCATGTGAAGGTGAATGGGTCCTCAACTTACCCGTCCAATAAAATGAAGGTGGTCGGGGAGCAGTGTTGTGGCAGCGTTTCAAGACACGGACTGTCAGAAAGGCAAGTATATTGCCTCTTCATTCTGCAGGTATTGCTATCTACCATTTGACATTTGTCACCTAAAGTTAACCTTATCACAAATTAAAAAATGTACAGGTAAAAGCATGAGGAGCAAAGGGATATACTATAGAGTCACTTGAGTGACAGCTTAGTCTGTTGGAGCTGCTGACATCACATCCAAGATGGCGGCATCCATCAGCAGTCTCAAGGCTTTTGGATGTCTACATAAGGGAGTCTTTTATAGGTAAATATGAAAAAACATCAAACA